AAAACCTCTTTCACCCACACATCACAACTGATGGCACTCTCTGTGTCTACCACGATCATTTAAGAAGCCACTAATTTTGCTAGACTAACGAAGTCCAATACTACTATAGGTTTACTGGTGATGAAAAGTGGATCACCTATGACAAGAACGTGCGAAACAGATCATGGTCAAAGGGTAGACAAGCCCTACAGACTTTAGCGAAAGCCAGATTAACACGCAATAAGGTGATGCTGTGTGTATAGTGGAATTGGAAGCGCATCGTTTATTATGAGCTTTTATCGCCGGGCAAAACCATCGACTCGGCTCTTTACTGCCAACAACTAATGAGACTTAAGCAAGAAATTGAGAAAAAAAACGGCTGATATTGATCAACAGAAAAGAAGTGGTCTTTCATCATGATAACGCCAGACCACACACGTATTTGGCCACTCAGCAAAAATTGAGAGAGCTTAGTTGGGAAGTGTTAATGCGTCCATCATATAGTTCTGACCTTGCATCCTCAGATTTTCACCTGTTTCGGTCGCTACATCCTCTCTTAAAATATTTGATTTGGCGGCTTTTTATTCAAATAGATAATTAAATTTTCAACGTGGTAATGCCATGTTGCAGCTACATTATGGTTGTAGCATGAATCGGTCGGCTCTACCGGGGAAGGACCACGCTCTCACAGAATACCAGCGTAAAGTAGTAGCTCAATGCTGCTGTGTTTCGAATGGTGAGTGTAGAGAACTGGGGATCCTTTTTACTGAATACGAGGTATTCTATCTTAGTCCTCAAGGGTGTAAACGTTTCAGCATTTTGATTCTTAATCGAATACAGATGTAGATGGCCACAGTACCTACTTACCATCAGGTGGACTGAGTCCTCGTTTATCACCCTTATTCTATAAAATAATTAACTATAACACTTTTAAAATTTGATTACCGCATGCATGGTTGTTAAGGAAAACATTGTGAGAAAGCACTTATAAATATGAAAGAAAATTAAACAAAATGAATTCGTGAACACGTAAGGCAGCGAGATGCACTGCCTCCTACTTGTCCCACAAACCCTCTCAGAAATGTGAAGATGCCTGTGCATAAATATACATATATACCGTTATTATACTTATCAACTGCAGGAGATTATTTCTTACTTTTAACAGATAGGCGCTATTTAATGTTTCTATTTCCTTTAGATGTGATTTATAATTGCTGCTGATACGCAATTGCAAACTTTATTACGTAATTCATAAAATACACTAGCCGTTAAAACATTGTGATGTAAAGCTAGACCACACCGAAGATTTACTTTTTTAAGCGACTTCAAAAAGTAGGAGCTTCTCAATTCAACTGTATTTTTTATGTGTCACATCTTTTTTCTAGGTGAATCTATTTGGATGATACTTTTTTTATTTAAAAACCGGTACTTCTAGTGTGGTCTCAAATAAATTTAATCAAGATCTGACAAGTAGTTTTGAGTTATCCTTAATAATACGTATTTAATTGACTTCGACTACATTGATGACGTTCTCATTTTATTTATATTGAAGTCGGTTGTACAAAATTTTTAATTTTACCACTTTGCCATCGTCGTAATTGGATAAAAATAAGGAATTACATATATCGACTGAATAATGTATGGTAGATAAAGTTGGGTGTGGTAGACGAAACACGTAAGTAGAAGTAATTATGTAGAAATGCGATCATTAAGGAGAATGTTGGGGTACTGAATGACTAAAAACATGTGTAATAGAATTGATATTGTAATCTGTCAAGTCATGTAGAGATAATGAATGAATAAATAGCGACACAGCAAGTTTATGTTGTATTAGTACCAGGTTTGGCAAGGGACGCCGTAGACGGAACTTAATCGATCAAATTAGCGATTTACTGAAGATGGGCCAAGTTAAGTGCACTAGTGTGCCGATGAGCATGTATGACGTGAAGGACGCGAGAGAGATGTGTAATGATCGTAGCAAATGGAAGCCCGTATCCTCTGCTTACACCTTGACAGACGTGATATGTTACGTATTTTACGTGGTAGAGACATGCTGCAGCTATATTAGTAGTAGGTATAGTTGTAGCACGAATGGGTCGGTTCGACCGGGAAAGGACCACGGTCTCACAGAATACCAACGTAAAATAGCAGCTTAACGCTGCTGTTTCGTATGATGAGTGTAGAGAACCGGAGACCCATTTAACTGGAAACGAGGCAAGACATCTTAAAATAACAGATAATAGGTAATCGAGAATAGATGTAGATGTCTATGGGCCGCAGCAACCACTTACCATCAGGTAGACTGTGTGCTCGTTTGTCACCTTTATCCTATAAAAAAATATATGTTATATAGTAATTTTTTACATACCATAATATACAATACTTTATTATATACAATATTAAAACTATAATAAAAAAAAACTAAAACTTAATTATCATACAGTCCTACTCCCCGAGGTATCGTGCCAAGAACGCTGGCTGCGTTTCCTCGCTGAATGGCTATACTTAGCCTTTGAGGGAGAAAAGAACCAGCCCTCTTATCACCGGCAGCAACGAACAGCCGTTATCTATAATAATTAATTACTAAATACTTTGTGTGATGTTACAATCCCATTCCACCCGCACGGATTCAAATGAATAACCTTGTACCCACAATCGAACCAAGAAACGATTTGGGTAAACTATACGCTACCGCAATAATGTAATCCACAGTTTGCTATTTGGTTTCCATACAAAAGATAAGAGATGGCCCTAAATAAGCAAGCTCCATCACCCATTATTGGCACTATATATATATATATATATATGATAATATATATAAGTAATGGTTTTTGAAAGAGAAGAAAGTAAAACTTTTATGTGAAATAAGAATAGAAGGGGAGTTGATTGAGCAAGTGGATGAGTTTGTATATTTGGGATGTTTATTTAGCAGGGATGGTAGATATGATAAGGATATAGAACGACGAGTGAACGCAGGAAATAGAGTGAATGGGGCTCTACACGCTATTATGAGGAGTCAGAATGTGTCAACTAAGGCACGTATGGCAATTCATAATGCTGTGTTAGTCCCTACTTTAATGTATGGTAGTGAAAGTTGGGTCTGGCAGAAGAAGCATGAGAGTAGAATAAATGCTGTAGAAATGCGTTCCTTAAGAAGTATGCTAGGGCTGAATCTGAATGACAGGGTGAGAAATAGTGTGATAAGAGAAGAGTGTGGTTTGCAAGATGACGTTGTGACAAGGATTAAGAAAGGAATGCTTCGGTGGTTGGTCATGTAGAAAGAATGAACGAGGAAAGAGTGACAAAGCAAATTTAGTAATACAATTACATATAAGTAAAACTATTGTATAAAAAGTCTACTTCCTAATTGCTTCGTGTATCCCGCACTAGACAGTTGTTGCAAAAAATATCCTAAATAATATTCCAAAGAATAAGTTTACAACCTTGCCAAGTTCTGTAAAATCCATTCAGTAGTTTTAGAGACTATTGTGTTCAAAGGGACACACATACAAACACAAAAAATTAAAATTAATATTGTTTTGCTTCTATACAGATAAATACATATAAATAATAGCCAGTGCCTTTTGATCACTATACGACTGGTGGCAACTAAAGAGTTGTTTTTTATTCTATATTGGTTATATATAATACTTATTGGAAATCTATTTGTAAGAGCCGCTCGCGCGATAAACCAGACATAATATAAAGATTACGCCTGTCACAGAGAGGGGTAGGCTGAGACTATGGACTTCCGTTTGGCACGATCCTGACGCACCTCCATCGCTTCCTTTACGTCCATATACCTATGCTATTCTTGATTTGGCCCATTCTCAATAAATGGGCAATTTGGTCGATAAACTTTCGTCTAGGGCGTCTCTTGCCAACTTTGCCACTCACTTATGAAACATAGATTTTCTTTGTCGCTGTTTCCTTATTCATTTTTTCTATATGGCCAAAGCATCGAAGTATTCCTTTTTTAATCCTAGTCACATAAAATGAGAGGAGGCAAGTGCCGAGGGATGAGACATACTCGGATAATGGCTGTAAAATTAATTTTCAACTGGTTCCGAAAATATTTCTGTTCTGGAAAGAACGAGCAAGAAACCCAACGGTACTTTTCAGTTTAGAACTGTTTATTGTTAATATATTTGCGTGTGTGTGTATTGAGGGACTTTTTAAAAACACTTTACACTTGAATTCAAAACAACATCTGCCGGCCTACTTCCGAAAGAACTGAGTTCTGAGTCGATTTTAATCGAATTTAATTGAATTTCGAACTCTCAAAACCTAGCGCTTAATCGAATTGTGTTTTTAAAATTGGAATTATCAAAACGAAAATCTTCAGCTGCCCACCGCTAGATAGCGCTCGTAATCGCATGCGACGTGAACTCTTTTTCTTAATTTGTTTGACCTATGTAAGTAATAAAGTAATTAAGAAGTAAATTTTTAATTTATTAAAAACGATCTTCAGATAATGAAATTCCTAACGGTGCTGATAACACTTGATCGTGGTTCAACTCGGTTCGAATTTTCGAATCGAATTGTTTCGGAAATACACTTCCAAAATCAGTTTCGAAAAAACGCAATTTTTAATCACTAATAATCGAATCGAATTTGAAAACGATTTCAGTAGAAGCTTGCTGAATGATAATTCAATTTGTAACACAGACTTACACATATCAGAACTATTCGATACCCTCGAAACTATACGCAGAAGAATGAGGAGGACGAGTGAGAGATAGTTGTTATTAGTAATGCATTATGATTTACATACAAATGATAATATAAATCACATTATAAATAGCCATATTAGGGTGTCTTAAACAAGAGATTGACAGCAGCGTCTTTTTCCTGCTCCTCTTGGAAATAAGAATAGACATGTTGGCACTAATAAGACTTATTTATAGTCTATTACTGTGCTATCTATTTTTACTCGGATAATGTCTCTATTTATTAGGGGCCATAACTTCTAATCAAGAAATTTAATTACATAAATATAATAGAGTTTTCTTTTGTTCCAGAGTGGAGGTGTGATGTTTTCCCCATTAGGTCGTCTTCGCGTTGCTCAGGCTGTCAGGAAACAGGTACGTAAATATTTACCATTAACTTTGATTCCATTTAAAAGAAAAGAAAACACTAAAAAGTTTTTGTGCATCAAGAATAAAATGGTGTTGGATGAATTTGTATATTTAAGTTTGGTGTTTAGCAAAGATGGCAGACAAGACAAGAACGAGGAGTGAATACAGAACACAGGCAGTTACTCTATTGCAGTCAGTCAGAATATATTAAAAAAAGCAAATAGAGCAATCAACATTGTGAAAATAGTTGTAGGTATTGAAAGTATTGAATGTATTGAAAGTTGGGTGTGACAGAAGATACATGAGGGTAAAATTGTTGGGGATCATAACTGTAGCAAGAGCTGAAATGCAGTCAAAATAAGTATTTTGGTCGTAACTATAAATGATAGGGTGAGAAGTGTGATAAGAGGAAAGTGTGATTTTAAAGAAGATGTTATGACCAGTATTAAGAAAATAACACAGCCGCATTCTCTGTCGTATTACTAAAATGAGGGCTAGTAATTTTCTGCTCACCAGATGTCGCTAGTTGACACTGAGGTAAAGTTTTTTGTTACACAATGTAATTTGATTGAGAAGTTGTTTTTTTTTTAACAAAAGTTTATCAGTTTTTAGATTATTGTATTAATACACAAAACAATGCCTCAGTGGTTTGCTCTTTAATTTTTTGCACATTTTGACTTTTTTTTATTTTTCTTCTTTAATGAATATCTGTGGTTTGGTTTATTTATTTTTAATGTTATAAATATAAAATATAGCTAATAGTAGAGAAAGAAACAATAACTTTTACATTTTCCGATCAAATTAACTTCTCCGCTATGAAATCTGTCAAATATTATACCTCACTTTCTAGTGGTGCCGCCCTGGTAGCAGAAAAAGTGGTGTGCATCCACCACCTATTCTGCTGTCCTGTCTGTGTCATTGTCCGATGGAACATCCATCCGATACGACTGAATAGAGATCAAGCGTAGAAACAATGAATCTACGTACTTTCTTGACTCCGGGTGCTACTGAGAATTTCTTGACAGTAAAACATAGTTACTCATTTCAGCTCGACCCGGGTTACGAACCCGGGACCTTACGATCAGCAACCGCATTAATAACCCCTAAACTTTATTTTTAGGCAATATTTTCATAAGGTTATGAAAAGTATAATATTCCTTTAATATAACAATCTTGTTTAATAATTTCAGACGAGCCAGTTACCACTCATAAGTTCCGAGGCAGCACCGCTTCAGGCGCCTCTGTGCTATCAATTACTCTGTGCGCCTCCCTTGGCTCCCTTGCCAGCGTGCGCCCCGTGTGAGCTCCCGCCTCCTCCATATGCTTTATATGGCCTGCCATTTGACAGTACGTATTAAAGCTGTTACATTTTTTTTTATTTATGTTTATGGAAAATTTTAGATATGTAGGAGCGGGTTGACGCGGCTGGAATCTTATTAAAGTTATAATTTTTATAGAATAAGGGTGACAAGCCAGAATACAGTCCATATGAGGGTAAGTAGATGCAGTGGTCTATAGACATTTATCCCTCGTTTATAATCAAAATGCAGATGCGTAGTAACTACTGAAGACTAAGATCAAATGCCTCGTTTCTAATAAAAAGGGTCTACGGTTCTTATCACTAACCACACGAACCACAGCAGCATTAAGCCGCGTATCGATTACGCGCTCCTGTCACACGCACCATGAATGACCACGCCGGCCATTGCGTTCCCCGAAACGCGCTCCAAATGTTCGAAGTGTATCAACTAAGCGCGTCTGGCGAGCGCAGTAGTCGTTCCAGTGTTTGACTAGTTTGAACGTTCAACATGGATGTCGGTCGTGTACGAACAGCTGCCGCTTTCATAGTTCCATGCATCTTCTCTGAGCGCTTTATTATGATAAAAACTACATTTGCTATTCCACAGCAGATCTTTTAAACTATATAACTGCATTATTTGACGGTAACATTGGTTATCCATAGCTCGGAACGCAACGAACACACGAAAACCATCGTCCCAACTGGCGCGCGTACCAAAACTTAAACTACTTTAATACGCGATAAAAAATCGACACCAGATGGAGCGGCCCGCTCCACGTTTGAACGTTCCAACGAACAATTTGGCGCGTGTTCCAAGGCGGTACCCATTTCGCGCGGCAGGAGCGCGCGCCAATGTTCCACCTCTTGGAACGCATAATCAACACGCGAATTTAAGCTGCTATTTTATGTTAGTATTCTGTGAAAGCGTGGTCCTTCCCCGGTTTAGTCAACTCAACCAGTTCGTGCTACAGTCATTATATAGCTACTCCGTGTCTCTACTACGTGAAAAAAGTGAGGAAGTGGGTACGTTACTGCAAGCAATTGTATCAGCTCGTCAGGTATAGTACCTTTAAATTCTTGCGTATTCTTTGGATGCTGAATATTGCAACATGACAAATAGTATTACAAATTTATTAGGAAGCAGCGATGTCACAATCAACCAGACACTCATCTGAGGAAGATGCTACTGTTCTGTTTTATTTCCCTCTGTCGCATTTTACGATACCCACGGGGTTCTAGGGTTATATATGTATACATATAGATATGTAGGTTATATGTATTAGTAGTTTTGTCTTATATCGACACTACGGCATTGGTTAATAATGTTAGTTAATACGGCATTTAACAAGGTAATTTGATTTTGTTTTTTTCTTTCTGTTCTTTTTTTCTTAATATTTTTTAAAAAAGTTACCACACATAAGCTGCCTGATGTGCGATCTCACCGCTAATTTTCAGCATAATCCTTATACATCCCACTGCTCGGCACAGGCCACATCTCATTCTCTTCTTAATTTATTTCAAACGGCATAAAGTTTTTTTTATATTTTGTATTTAATTTTTAGTGGTAATAATGTACTTGTCTCGTGGTGGCTATTTGAGAAATATCATTATTATTTTTTACTTCAGAATTTCTTTCCATAGAGTGGGTTATTTATTACAAAAAGTACTTATAAGCTATTATCACCGCATTTAATTCCATGTTTGTTATAAATAGCGACTATAGAAAATGCCAGAAAATTCTTATAACTTCCGATAGATGGCATTATAGCATCTCGTTTACGCCAGGCGTAAAATAGTCAGAACGGAAACAGGTAGCAGTGCGATCATAATTCCTTATTGCAAGCTTGACGTATAACTTATAACGAGACATGCCCATGTGATGCACTCGACTCTTTAGGGCTTATTGAGAGACAAAAGAACATCTGCTAAACAGGAGGAGACATAAAGCATTTATCATTGTATTTTATACGTGGTAGAGCCATGCTGCAGCTATATTTCTGATATAGTTGTAACACGAATGGGTCGGCTCAACTGGGGAAGGACAACGCTCTCACAGAATACCAGCGTGAAATAGCAGCTTAATGTTGCTGTGTGTCGTATGGTGAGTGTAGAGTATCGGAGACCCATTTTACTGGAAACGAGGTATTTTGATTCATAATCGAGGATAAATGTAGAAATCAAGATGCAGATGCGTTGTCACCCGTGAGGACTAAGATAGAATGCCTCTTTGCCAGTAAAAAGGGTCTCCGGTTCTCTACACTCACCATACGAAACACAGCAGCGTTAAGCTGCTATTTTACGCTGGTTTTCTGTGAGAGCGTGGTCCTTCCCCGGTCGAGCCGACCCATTCGTGCTACAACCATAATATAGCTGCAGCATGGCTCTACCACATATAACAATACTTCTTTTTTAATTTTCTGTAAGCGGATAAAAAGTTGCTCATTTACTGCCTACGTACCGAATTTCATGGCAATATTTCCAGTAGTTTTCGTGTGAATCGTGAAATCGTGAACGCATAATTTTTCTACAGATTTATTATATATAGACGATGTAGACGCTGCCCTTTCTGGCTGGCGATGAGTTTCATTTTCACACATACACTTTTCTATAGACTCATTACACGTAGAGCTAAATCCTCTTTATGACTCATAGAACTATCAGCAGCCATTATGATAATATACCCATGAAAAAAAGGAAAAACACAATACTTGTTTTTTACTTTTCCGTGAGCGGATAAAAGTTGCTCATTTACTGCCTACGTACCAAATTTAATGGCATTATGTCCAGTAGTTTTTGTGTGAATCGTGAAATCGTGAACACATAATTTTTCTACAGATTTATTATATGTATTGATATTCTAATTAATAATAACTTTTAACATTTCAGCTACACCAGCTATATACGGACCACCCGCTCAATATGCGCTGGTTCCAGCACCATATAGTGCGGCTTGTTGTGAGCCAACTTGCTGTGCACCTCTGGACAAGCAGCCGCGCGTACCACCACCTCCACTTCATCCCGCTTTCATCTACTGAAATCAACACCGAATCGTCAATAACAGCTTCATCTCTCTGAACCCTTATTATTTCTAAAGTTCTAAATTTATAACAAAATAAATATATATGTACATTTGACGTAATTCGTATGTACAAATTGTTGGAAGAAAATCTCGCTTGCCTTCAAAAATTGAATTTTAATTTTAAGACAATGTTCAAATATTACTGGTTGAAAATATAGTTTTGGATAGTTTTTATCCCATTTCCATTTAGTAGGCAGAGATATATGAATATTAATTGACTTAAAAGACAAAAATACCAATAGCTAATTTTCTTGATTTTTACCTCCGTTAGTTTTGTCAATAAATCAGACGTTACTTTGATTAAATTAATTATATCAAAGACGAGAAAAATTACTGAACTAAGAAAAATAAAAAATAAAATGGTAAATCAGATACTATCTAGTTTGAAGAGAACATTCCACCCATCACTGCCAATAATAAGCCCCACACCATTACACCGAGTAAGATTACCATTAACACCACTCTAACCTCTGCAGTAAGACATACACGACACCTGTTTGGATGAGGTATCGTCGATCACGATGGCTTGTCTAAACATGAGAGGGCGGTATGTTTTACCAGTAAATAAATTATTATGATACTGGGAGTAGTGACGTGAGTTTAGTGTTGTCATAGATCACGCGATTGTGGGAGGGAGGCAAATGCTTCCAAAAATAATAAAAAACTGTTTTATTTTAGCACTTGGATTTTAGTAGCTTAATAATTTTTCTGCGTTAGTTTCGCTCAAGTCTTCCATAATATTCTTATATTTATCGATTCCTTATTTAAAACACCTCACAATAAGCTTTCTGATAGAAAGCTTATTTACAAGCCTGGTCAATAAAGGAATGAAGTGAATAAAAGGTTTCATAGTGATGCAAGAAGTGTTCAAGAATAAACTCTGTCTATTTGTGTGTGTTTTTGACGATTTTGTCTATTTGTGGTTGTAGCTATCCCTTATTTATTATAGAACTATAATAGAAAGGTTAGGCTTCAAACAGGTATATATAAGGCAGTGACACCGTGGATTTGCGTGCTATCATTGATGTAAGTGTTTTGTACAGATATATCGACTCGTCTTATGTCTGCCGTTTATGCCTACTACTTCTGAGTTCTTAATATTGTTGGTTACGTTGCTCGAATGCGTGAAAACACCTTTCTGTATATAATAATCAGTAATTTAGATTATGCGTGATACATAGAGCGATTTGGAATATCTATAGTAGTATCATTGTTAGTGGTAATTACGTATTATCGTGCACCAGAAGCACAACGAATATTGACAAAAAGCGGACAAGTTGCTAGTTTTAAACGTTACCTCGAAAAGACACAATTGTTATAGCTTGTTATCCTTTTAAAGGATTTTTGTTCACCGATAGAGTAAGGTTGTTATGTTGCCGTATAACTTAGAACAGAGAAATAAATCTATTTTTGAATACTTTAGTTATTAATGTTGCTAACGACAATGAAAATAAATCTGGGGTCCAAGATGTGTAGAGGGATGCGCATTTCAAAATTTCATTCTATTCAAAATTTCGCAATTGTGATTATTTTGTACGAATTAAATTTTGAAACGTGCGTTGCTGTTATCGTTATTGATTATTATCTTGGGAAGATTTATAAAGTAGTTTCAAAATCTCAATAATTCAGAAAAAATTGGATTATAGGAACATCATAATTTGCCAGTAAAATATTTATTGTATGTGTATGTTAGTCATAAAAAGTGCTTTATCTTAATAAACAAAACGAGACAAATAAAACCAAATGAACATACATTAAAAAATGTGGTGATATGAAATTTTTAATAAAACAAATATATTTTTCTCTTCCGCGATATCTTGTTAATGTAAACTTAAATAACTATAGAAAAAGATCAGGCAGTAAAATAATAGGAGGACCAAGTTGAACCCTAATACAAAAATTTCACGACATGATCACGAATGTAGAAGAAAATTTAATTGTTGATTCTATACTAAACATTTAACATAATGTGTGCAGTGACATTTGTGTCATGCTTAAAAATGAGATTGAACAAGAGAAGTCTTCATTACCATATATAATAATGGTAATAATATTTATTTGCAACAACAAGATAATCTTTCACTACCATTTACAATAATAGTAATAATATTTACTTTCAACATTCTTAAAATTACCCTTAAATTGCAGTTAAAGATAAATATTCAAAAGTTTTTTAATTTATTTACCTTATAATGTTATTTATGACACAGAGCTAGCAACATTTTAAAGTTTATATAGTATGGGTCCTAAATTAGTACCTGGTGGGACTTGATCGTTGAGAGATTGAGAGAGTAAATCGAAAGAGAATGCTTATTTATAATATACCAATATAACTGCCACATAGTATCTTTAAAGTTTTGTTGTTGTTATCACAAGTATAAATATTGTCATTTACGATTAGATAAACTGAAATTGCTGTCAATTCGTCGTCTTTACTCAACTCTATTAAGTATTAATGATAAGATATAATAAACATTAACATATTTCGCTTTGCTAATATACTTTTTTCTAAATAAATTAGACACTAGATTTCACATAGAAAGATTTTGTATGTCTTTCTTGATTTGAATCAATTTCTTAATAAAATTACTCGACAATTCTCATCGTGTAATCTTGTACATCGGCAGCAATTTTCACATTTTTAATACAATACAACTTGCATTGAAAGTAAGAACTATTTACACAAGTATATATCTTACGCGTATCATTGCTTATCAAACTGTTATTGCAAATATTCATATGTAATTATCCTTGATGGGAGTATATTATCAGTTGGGTATGGTAAATCCAATCACAAATAATGTTTTTCTATGAATTTAATTAATAAAGGTAACAATAATGACATATTATTATTGATTCACATTTTCACTTATAAATATTTGCAAAAACAGAGTCATGTACCAATATTTTGTGGCCTAGACACCTTACGCCTAACATATCGGATAAAAGAATAAATATGTATGCTATAGTAAATTATTTTTCATATATTATGCCACTTGTTCAATTTCGCTAGATGTATTTATATTTGGTGAATTAAAACATGTAATTTAGACAATATAAAAGTATTTGAAAATAAACTGATATAAGTAGTAGATAATAATGTTTAGTATAATAACTAACTACATGTGTAAGCATGTACGCCTCTAGAACTTTATGTCTATTTGTTTAAGCTTATATAGGGCTATTGATGTGATCTTTTTCTAATTACAGAACTGTATTTATGAATCTAAATGTATTGACAGATAAAATTAAAAAAAAAACGATGTGTAAAAACAAATTTTTGAAGTTAAAGATTTATAAAGCTCGATTCTGACGTATATTTTCTTAAATAAGGACAGGAGCTTTTTGTGGCAATTTCTAAAATTGAATTACAATGAAAAAATACGTCCTAGAATCGAAATACATGTTGTGATAAAAAGTCTGTTGTTTCTATCGATTTCTCGCTTGTACCATTAAAAATATTTCTTGACTTTATTCACCTAGTGAGTGATGATGTCTTACGAAATGGAGCAAACGGAATTGAAATGTGTACGTTATTATTCTGAAGTTATGAACTTTCTTGAACACTAAAAAATTGCATTAAATCGATACTCTTTGTATCGGTTTTATTGACATGGACAATATTGTCTTTAACGGACAAAGTTAATTAATGTAATGCTAGTTACAAGTAACAATTTAACATGCAACTTAAGATTTATTTAACTTGAATTTATCATTTTGATAAGTCTTTCTTGATAGATATAGTATTCATAATCTTGAAGGGTTGGCCATGATAAGTGATCAGTACTCATGATAATTTGGAGTAGCAGTCGCCATGCAATAACGATTCTAGCTTTCGTTATTGGGTTAGGATTTTTTTCATTAATTCTATTATTCTAAACAATCTTCTATAACCCTTTTAGATAGACTCTTTAAGTCATTACGTTACAATAGATTTACTTTGACGCAGTGTCACATAAGAAATGCGCTATCAATGTTGCTTTTCCACTAACAAAAAACAAAGGTTATTCATACATGTAATTAATGTTTTCTTAAGATAAGTTAATTTGCAAATTTATTTAAAGCTTATTATAGATTATACCGTCCGCGTGTAGGTATTGACGTCTTAAGGAACTTTAGCCCCTGTTACAAATAGTGCTTCGTTAGGGCAAAGAAATCCGTCTCCGATCAGTATCACGCAATGTACAGGGACATAGACAATATTGTGGCACTGTTGATGTGATTTCACGTTAAGTAGAAGTATTGTCCAAGCATCATATTATGCTTTACTAAATATAGTGATATATTTGTTTTATTTATTTTATAAAGATAATTTTATTCATCTTTTATCGTCCTTTAGCTTCTGTCTAATTATTTCAATATATAGCCTTTCATGTAATTGTTATTGTACCATTTAATTTTATAAAAGTACGTTGTAATACCTATAGTTACTATTATATGTGTATTTATCTGTTAATTATATAATCCATGGGGGCTAATAATTTTCTGCTCACCAGGTGTCGCTAGTTGACACTGAGGTAAAGTTTTTCGTTACATAATGTCATTTAATTGAGAAGTTGTTTTTTAATAAAAGTTTATCAGTTTCTAGAGTATTAAATTAATACACAAAACGATGTGTCAGTAGCACACACACAGCACATTTTTTAAACTTTTCTACTTTTATGAATATCTGTGATTTGGTTTATTTATTTTTAATCTTATTAATATAAAATATAACTAATAGTTCAGAGAGAAACAATAACCTTTACATTTTTCGAACAAATTAACTTCCCCGCTATGAAATCTGTCAAATATTATAGGTAACTCAGTTTCTAGTGGCGCCGCCCTGGTGGCAGAAAAAATCGTGGGTACCCTCATTATTATAAAAGCAATTCCTAACGATTTCCTTTTTTAAATTTTAGCCGATTACAATTCCTTTTATTTTATCTGATTATTATTTTTATTATCTGAAAAATA